TTATTATTATTATTTTAAACCTGTTCTCAATAAAATTTCATCTTAGGCTCCAGAAGAACAGAAAAGGTTTTGGAAGTATGTCAGTATGTTAGATAGAGACCCACTGGGCCTGAAAACATCTGTGTTGTGATTTATCATCGCTCCTTTTCTTAGCAAAGGTAAAATTTTAACATTAGTCTTATCTGATGTTTTGAACATCAAAAGGGATGACGCTGGTTGGAGAAGGGGGCCAGCTGAGGAAACTTCTAGCTGGAGAGATTCAAGTCGTCGTGAAGAATGGGACCGAGGTGGTCGTGACATGAGGGATCGGCGCACCGATGACAGAGAGACACCCCTCAGGAGAGGACCACCGCTCAGACCCGACCGTGAAGAACGTATGGTTATTTTGGTGTTCCTCAAGGCTCACATTCACTGTAGGGCTTTCATTTTACTCCTGACAGCGCTAGGATGTGGTAACATGGGAATAAATAATATTTTCAGCCATTTAAATTCCTTTTGCTTAAGCAAAGTAATAGAAAGAAGCTTTACTGTAATTGAGAATTTTTCCTTGAATCTTAACTTTTTTGAGTTGTGCTCTTTCCTGTCGTCTGCAGTAGAAGGGGAACGTTTTCAGTGTGTGGTTTGCACAGTAGGATTATGTTCAGGGTGAATGAAATTCTTGTACTTAAATTACCAAGATAGATGTCCCAGAAAGTAATTTCTGGCTCATTTCTTAAAACCATTAAAATGTGAGGGAAATATTTCCGAAGAAAGTCTTGTGGGTTTCACACTATTAACAGGACTGATTTTGATGAATAACCTATTTTAATTACATACATTAACCTGTTTTAATGATGTATATTTATAAAAGTACAGTAACAGCAGATGTAGCCTGAGAGACCATGTTTTCCCATTCTCATGTTCAGGATCCCACGTGGTCCCTGCCCGGAGCGTGGGTGCTCCCGGGACGTGGGAGGTGCTGTCAGGCAGGGGGTCTCGGAGAGCAGAACGAGACAGAACGTGGCACAGGGGACTTTGGCTGGCAGGAAATCTGAGGGTTTTCAGTGTGGAGATTTATGGGGTTTAATATATCAAGAGATTTTGGTATTTGTCTGGTTTGGTATTAGACACAGCTTTGTTTACACACAGCTGGGGTAGAATTCTTAACATCCTTTTGGTGGAAATGAACAATTTTTCATATAGTAAAGGATGGGAATGCTGTTACCAGAGGAGTCACGTAATCCAATGCCCTTTATACCTCTGATTTCAGAAGGCTGAAGAGTAATGTGCTGTCTTTTGAGACAACAAAGATCTAAGCCTTTCCCACAAGTGTTTTTAAGCTAGGATTTTTCTGGTTTCAAGGTTCAGTCTAAAGGAGACACCTTTGTGCTTTTAATTCTGACAATAATATGAGAATATATTTTTACATCATAAACCCATGTACATCATAGAACATTCTTATTGCAGTTACTGTGTTTTAAGGATGAACAAGAATCAGAGCCTTGTTTTAAGGCTCACAAGACTCCTGAATCTGAAGAGAGGCATGAGTATTCCCTGTCCATCCCTTCACTACAAAATTAAACTGTGCATTTGGCTGTCATCATCAGAATACCTCTTGGCAAGATTGAGGATCAGTAAATCAGAGTGTCGGTGCCAGGCATATTTGTTTAAACTCTTGCAGGCTGCTGGTGGAGCATGACAAAGGTTGTTCTGTTGTCTTTCTGTGTTTGTAGCAAGCTCATGGCGGCGTGCTGATGACAGGAGAGAAGAACGTGGAGAAGAACGTGAAACAGTTCGGCGATCAGCTCCCGCTCCTGCTGCTGCTGCTCCTCCAGCTTCTGCTCCCCCACCAGCATCAAAAGATCGAGAAAGAGATGGGGAGAAGGAGAAAGGTTCCTGGAAAACAGAAAAGGAGCGTGAGCCCCTGCGCCGTACTAAAAATGAGACAGATGAAGAAGGGTGGACCACTGTACGACGTTAAGTGAAAAATCACAGAGTTTAATCAATGTTTTAGCTTTGATTTGATGGAATCCACGGATTATATTTGTGCTTATAAACATTCTGAATTGGAATTCTTTAACAAATGTTTTGAGGTAACATTGAAAGCATGAGCTTGAATTACTTACTTATATAGATTGATCATGCACAAAACTCACAGCAGAAGGTTGGAAATTGAATGCCAGTTTTGGAAATTTCAAATGATGCTTATTTCATGGGTCATTTGTTGCTAAAATAAAAAGAAGCAAGCCCAACAGCTGTCTTGAGTAATGCTTCTATCTCGCACCAAAACAGGCTGACCTTTTTATTTTTAGTCTTTCTTAATTTGGAATGGGGTATTATCGTCACAGAACATGCATTTGAAAACACCTCTGTTCATGCAGTGGAATTACTGAAAAAGCAGAGCTAAATCAATTTCCATAATTAGACAAAAAAATAGAAAAAAAAAATAAAATAAAAGCCCTCTTTTACATCGGCATCCTTGAGGGCAGGTGGTTTCTGAGAGACATATTTTATCACCATCTAAATTGAGTATGTTGTTTAAATTTGACTTAAATACAATAGACATTATGAGCATTAGCTACACTGGGATATTCTCTGTAGATTTACTTGAATAGCTGAGGCCTGTGAGGCCATTTTGCAGTCATTGTTCCAGTACTGGACACTGCTGCAGTGTACAACCACAGAACTTCCAGCTTTTCCAGGTTCAGTGTTTCGGTAAGCATACGGCTTTGTATTTTCTGTTGCCAATATCACAACCGCTTTTTCCATGACTGGATAATTCATGCCTTTCAAAGATTTATAAATATTGTCATATTTAAAATGTGTGGTTTTGGAAAAAAATGTTGAATTTTCCCCCAATTCTTTGTCTTCAGGGTCAATTCTTTCCCTTTCCAAAAAAAACCAACTGATTTGTAGTAACGGCTGTGTTGACTTCAGTTTTGGGATGCGGTAACAACGATTAACTCTGGTTATACTGAAGCCAACACAGAACTTGCTGCTGTGTGTTTCTTCAATGATAAATAAACAACTTAAGGAATTAGCTGCTGCAGCGTCTTGACTTTTTAGTAACTTCCTGCCACGTAGGTAAATGCAGAAGAGCTCCTGGACAACTCTTTTCTGTGTGCCGACCTGTTTCTGTACCAGCTGAAGGAAAATGTGACAACACCTGGGATTTTTTTTTTTTTTTTCCTGAGAAACCTGGTTTGATTTTAATGTGTGTGAACAAAAGTTGTTATACTCCTCTTGGCCTTGTGTCCTCTCCTGAGCTTCCCAGGTCCTTTTCACTTCTCAGGAGAAACCTGCTCTCACAGTCATCTTCTGCAGGCCAGATCTTTGTGCCTTTGGAGCCTGTCACTTCATTGCTTGTTGAGTCACAGAATTCCTTCAGGACAGTCGTGTTTTCTAAACAAACAAACAAAAATGTTTCTTTGTGCCTCACACAGTCCTATAAAGGATGGTACTAGAGCGTGGCAGCTCCCCGGTCACAGAGGATTCCTGGATTTGGGGTAGTGGGTGCTGCTGCTGTTCAGCTGCCTGGTGTTGTCCTTATGTTCTGTGTCGCAGAATTACAGGATCATTCCTGTTAGGAGACCCCTGGAGCTCTCCAGTCCACCTTCTTGCTGTGAAGTCAGACTCTGTTACTCAAAACAATGTTTCCCCAGTGTGGTCTTGAAAACCCCCAAGGATGGAGACTGCACAGCCCTTCTGGGCAACCTCTTCCAATGCTTTAGTGCTCCCACAGTGAAGAAGCATCACCCTCTCTCTTTATGGCTTCTACCTGTTGCCTGGCATGGTCCTGCTGATGCACTGCTGTGAAAAGCCTGACTTCATTTTCCCAGTAATTTCCTGGCTGGCTGTGGTTGGTCTTCCCTTCTCCAGGCTGAACAAGCTCAGTTCCCTCAGCCTTTCCTCACAGGCAGGTGCTCCAGCCTCTGACCATCTTGTTGGCCCTGTGCTGAACTGGCTCCAGTGTGGCAGTGTAGGGCCCAGAACCACATGCAGTAGTCAAGATGAGGTCTACTGCATGCTGAGCAGAGGGGGATGCTCTCTTCCCTCAGGTACAGGCCATGGTCCTGTTCAAACAGCCTGAGAGCTGCTGGTGCCTGCCAGGGTCCTGGAGGCATCTGAGCCAGCCCCCAGCCTGTCACTGCAAGAGCTTCTTGGCAGTGCAGGACTCTGCCTTTCTCCTCATTGAACTTCATCAGGCTCCTGCCCAGCCTGTCTCTGCCCCTTTGGGTGGCAGCTCTGCCCCAGGTGTATTCACCTGGTCCTCCCAGTTTGGTGTCATCCACAAACCTGCTGACAGGGCACGCTGCTGTTGTCCCCAGGTCCTTGAGAAAGGTGTCAGGCCAGGTCCCAGGACAGACCCCTGCGATACCCCACTCTAGGTGCCATCCACCCCATTGACCACGATAATGAACCTCAACATCCAACCACTTTCTCAGCCCACCTGGTTGTCCAGCTCTCTAGGCTGTCACATCCTAACCTGGGCACAAGAACACTGTGTGAGTCAGCACTGAAAGCCTCGCTAAAGTCGAGGTGAAGAACATCCACTGCTCCTTCCCTTGTCCACGAAGTTATTTTGTTGTAGAAGGCAAATGATGAGGAGTCAGGCACGATTTACCCTCAGTAAATCCGTGCTGACTTCCCAGTCACCTTCTGCGTGTGCCCAAAAAACATGCTCTGAGAAGACTTCCTCCATGACTTTCCCAGGGACAGCAGTGACATCATCTGGCCTGTAGTTTCTCATGGTCCTTTTGGCCTTTTTTGAAGATGGGTGCAACATTTGCCTTTCTCTCAGGGAGATGTAAAGAGTGACTCTACCTCCAGGTACATCTCTTTAATTTTATCCAAACAAAGACATTTTCACACAGGGATACATGTTGGTGATCATGGCACCAGCTAAAGCTCTGCTCCCAAATCTGGGTTCTTAACTTGCATTATTTGAGATTGCAATCATGTTGCCAACACATGTAAAATGCTCAGGATCAGACCAGCTGGAGAAAAGATCTGCAAGATGCAAGCTTTACAGACACACCAGTGTGTTTATTGTACCACTTGATCATTTTAGACAGTGATCAAAACCCACCGCTGACCAAATCCAACGGCTAAAACCTCCATCTCCTGCCGTAATTACACATCAGCACAAAATTTGTTTACCTGAAAATGTTGATGAAGGCAAATGAGTTCTCCGACAAGCGTTGCTGTGTGTGATTGATTCGTGTTCAGTTAAATATCTCACATTTTCAGTGAACCTCAGAAGAACACAAACTGCCACGTGCTGTATTGAGAAAGCAAAAATTAAAGCTGCTGCTGGTTTAAGTGGATGCAAACGTTGCTCGATTAAAACCAATCTCCAAGAGCAGAGCAAGGCAAGTGGATCAGATATGAAGAGTTTGGTTTATTTCCTACTCCAGGAGTAGCCCAGGACTGACACCCCAGCCGGTGGGCAGGGCTGAGGACCATCACAGCACTCAGCAGAAGTAGGGTACAGACATTTTAATTATATTTTCTCTAAGGTGCTTTTGTTCTAAAAAAATAAAAGCAGTGTTTTATGAGAACTAGCAAGACCAGGGCAGGTGCAGTGAATGAAGTGGTGCCACTCCAGTCTGGCACAGCAACATCTCAGGACACATCATGACCTCGGTGACATGGGTCTGGCTGTGGTCCCAAGCAGGATGAGGTGCACACTGGGGAGGTGTGGACAGCCAGGAGACCATCTCACACAGCAAGGGCACTGCAAGTCTTGCCTTGCTGTACATGAAATGTATCTTTTCTGTTTTCACATCCCTGGGCTGCAGGCACTGACAGGAACTGCTACATTTAGGCAAGTTTTCCTGCTGTAACCAAAGGTCCCCTTAGATTGTGTAAGCCTACCAAGTGAAGGTGTTGGGTCGGTGAAGTGTTAAGATTCAAAATGAACCTGTTTTTCAGGCACTCGTACCCATCCCGTGTCGTTTACTGCAGAATTGCAAGAAGTAGGCACGCGAGCAGCCTAACAGGAGCACCTGACCCTTCATGGCAAGAGCAGGTAGAACTGAAATGCTCTGCACTTTGACTGGTCCTGCTCTTGAAAAGATTTATTAATGCATTTAAATACAGTAGGATGGAGATTCTGCAGACTATTCCACTGCTTTTTGCTGATGAGAATCTCCCCTGTTGCAATTCAAGCTTTGTCAGGCCTTCCGCTCTCGGGCAGGAGGATGATTTACTGGCTCTGCTACATCTTTCTCCACATTTGAAGACTGAGCATACCGAATTCAGCTCTGCCAGAACTACAGGCATACTCAAAGTAATGATCTTCCTCCCCATGTGACTGTTGGCAGACTGTCTCCAGGACATACTAACCAGTACATGTGGTGGGTCAAACTGGCACAGCTATGGGAAGTGTGAAGACATTTTACAGCCACCATGGTTTAGTCCTATGGCAGCTACCATGACTGAGAGCAAACCCTCTCCAGAGAGGACTTTCACTAAAGATGGGTACAGATTTGCCTGGCTTCAGCCAGATCACATTATCTATGCATCTGAAAATAGTTTTTTATTAGAAAAAGCTCGCTTTTTGCCAAAACTATTATCAACTGAGGATGACCACAGGCTATCCAATACTCTGTGCTCACTCCTCTTACCAAAATATCACTATGGAAAAGATTCCATCACTTATATGCTTAGAAATATTTCCCTGCAATAAAGTGATTCTCTGAAGATAAAATATTAGGTTAAAACAAGTGGCTGCAATTTTTTGATTTGCAGATGCCTGTAGAATAAATAAAAATAATATCAGGTTTGCTTTTCTTAAGACTTCTTCTGTGGAGCATTTAACAGCTTCCAACCTCAGCTGCTTTCAGATGAAGCTATTTGCTGTTCCCAGGATTTAAGTTACTAATGTAAACTGCTTCCAGTAACTTAAGGAATCAGAGCACCACTATAAGCACTATCTCTTGTAATAAGCTTCTCAGAGTCGTTAAGAACAAGCATGTTCCTGCTTACTCAGTGCCACAAGGAGTGTGCTGGTGCACAGGAAATCGCAGGAGCTTACTTAAAAAAAACCCAAACAAACCAAAAAAGAAAAACAAACAAAATGTCCTTAAAGGTTCAGTCTTTATAAGACACTGACTTGGAAAAGTTTAAAGGGCAAGTTGTCCTGTTGAATGCTCATGGAAAATAACGGAAGAGCCTTGCTCTTGGGCTGCCTGATTCTGAATCTTGTCATCTCCTCTCTGCAACAGTTTAAGGGTTTTTTTTCCCCCTCACAACTGGTCTTTTGAAGCTGTTACTTGACCACCTCACCTGTTAAGACTCTGATCAGATGCCCAATGCTGTGCAGTAGCTACAACAGGCAGCTCTTGGCCTTTCCACGGCAAGGCTGCAGGTACACATGTAGGATGAGAGGAACCAGGAGCAACGGGCAGCAGCAGAGGCTGTTGGCACAACAGTTTTCCTCTTACGCAGGTGGAGGGAAGAAAGAACCAGCAGAAGGCCAGCACCATCCAAGGCAGGGGTCTGCTGGTGTCTTGACCAACTTCCAGGCACTGCAATAGGGCTGTTGCTACACGGTAACTTCATGTACAGGCCAGAGAAGAGGGGTGGTGTGATAGTTCCACATGGCAAACCCTGTGAGGAGCACCTCGGATCCAGCCCTGCCAGAAATACCCCTCAGAAAACACCCGAGAAAGCTTTTCTTAAGATCTTTCTTGCTTTTGTGTCCAGTAACAGTCAACTGCATTAAAATGTATGGACTGATCTTCAAACTTCCCAGAAGGAGGGAACAAACATACAGAAGAAAACTCTTCCCATAGTGTCACACCCCAGCTCAATTCTAATGTGTGGTGGGTACAGATTTAACCTGCTTGGACCAGGTATCACAAAACCAACCATAACTCCCAACAGCTGAGATGAGCCTGTGGTGCAAGCCCCAGAGAATGAGAGACAATTGATATTTAGCACAAGGAGAAGGTAGCTGCAGCCACTTTGAAGTGTTATTTAATGCAAGCCCTGTTATATTTGGTAATCAGACCTGACCCCATCTTTGGAGCC